CTTTCGGGCTTTTTGTTTACCTAGGTGCACCTGTATAAATAGTTTTTGCTTCACAAAAATAGGACTGCCAAGTATATGCATTATTTTGTAGTCTGTTTTATTCACAAAAACAGAGATTACGAATGCTTTCCAATGGCAATAAAGGCAGGTCTACTCAATTTCAGTGGTTGTACAACGTTCCAATCTATGCATATAATTTAATTCATCTCCTATTGTTGGACAGTTTTTCCTCTTGGATGATGTTTAATTAAAGTCAACTTGTTGGGTCGAAGTTCATAAACATTTTAAAGGCTTTGATACGTATTATTAAATAGCTACTTGCCCTTCTTTCAGTCTGATGAAAAGTGTTTGAGAATACCGGTTTCTCCACATCTGCAATGAGCTGGCTGAGATTTCATTTTCATTCTCTCCAAATTGTTGTACATACCCCCTTATAGTAAAACTTGCTCCTTAAATACATGATTACAATAGAGACCTTCTGTGTAGTAAGTCAAATAACTGGTAACTCATTTGTATAGGTAAAGGGAGGGAACTAAGAGGACTGCGTTGTATAGATTCTTTAAAAAATGTTTTAGCCCTGGCTGGTGTAGCTCACCCCTCCTTCTCTCATTCCCTTCCTCTCTAAAGATAAATAAATAAAATAAAATATTAAAAAAAATGTTTTAAAGGTCTGTTACAAGGGGAGTGATGGAAGTAAGATGACCCAGTGTGTTTGAATCAGTCTTCTTTCTACATAGTTGGGAACTAGGCTTAAAGCTCATCAAACTACTAGAGGGGTAGAGAGGAAAAGAACACTTGAGGTATTTCTGCCTTGGAAGAGCAGATGTGCGGATTTCTGGTGGAAGATCTCATATACTACAGTTTAGAAAGGTGTGGTAACTTACCTCATCCCTAGCTCAGTATCTTCTATATACATTTTCCTTCTCTGTCTCTTAATCTCTCATGCATGTGGGGTCTCTGACCCTCCCATGTATGAAGGGCTTCCATACATATGCATACCTTAAATTTAGTTATTCTCTCCTGCTAGTCCATCCCATGTCTACTTGATTAGATTAGCCAAAAGAACCTTGAGAGTAGAGGAAACTTTCTTCCTCCCCTAGTTGGTGCTGAGCAGGACAGACTCGCTGGCTGGAACCCTGCACTTCCCACGTGGCTGCTGCAGATGAGATCTTGGAGCAGTCAACACACACTGGCACAAGGTCAGTGTTCTTACCATGTCAGCACACCCCCCGATCTCTGTCTTCAGCATCATGGGTTTTTTTTGTAGGGCGATGAAAATGTTCCAGAATTAGTGGTGATGGCTGCATAATACACTAAAAACCACTAAAAGGGTGAATTTTATGGCATGTGAATTACAGTTGTGCTTTTTTTTTTTGTAAAGGCATAGAATGGGTTTCATAGCACTTGGGCATAGAAATAAACAATTGAATAAAGGAGTTGAGGGACCAGATATTGAAAAGGACGCTAAGCTGTTGGGAGTGGATTGGATGTGGACTAGATGTCCTTCACAACCTAGGGTGACTTGTCACATAAGTGTATTTCCCTTTAAGAAGCCCAAATTGGAGAACTATAGCTTTAATAGTTTTCTGGTCTAGTCTAGTCATCTCCTTGGAGGCAGGGTTGCTGAATTAAATAACACACATGCGTAATGAACTCTGGTGGGACCCATGCCATCAGCTTCCCAGATCCCCTTGTGTAGAATCTGCTTGGTACAGAAGCACTTCCTCCTAGGTTAGTATTAACCGTACAAGAACTTTGCCACCTTCTTCCAGGAAAGTAATTTACTTTCAAGGTACTTTGGAATAATGCTTACAGTTAGCTTTTTTCTGAAGTAGGATGTATGAACTAATGTATGTCTTATTGAACGGCAATTTTAGAGTCAGACCATTAACATGCTGTGGAAAAAAAGTAGACTGTCTCCAAATTTCTCTGCCTGGCTTTTAAGTGCCCATATGAGTACCCACCTTATATACCCCATCTTAGTGCCTATTTTTGCCAATCATTTCAGCTCCCCAACCCTCTGATCCACAGGAGGCATCACTCAGGTTGGCCTTGGCTCCAGGGATCACCTCGTCTCCCAGTCCTTCCACCTCCTCAAAGCTTGTCCCTCACTAGTCTAGCTCACATTGATCATTTCTCAGAACAAACGCATCTCCTGTGTCACATGTCAGTTTCCCCCTACTACATTGTCAGCTCACTGAGGGGCTGGGCTGTATCTTACAGTTCTATTTCAGAGTAGGCACTCAATACTATTTTCACTATCACGTCCTGTTATTTACACTCTATGTTTTATAAAAGGGATTTAAAAGTTTAAGACAAGTAGGTAAAATGACGTCTTCCATCAAAATTTTATCTTAATTACAAGGATAAAATAATTATGCTCTAGTCCCAAACATTTTAATGCTTCCTACTTTCCAAGTTTTCTTTTTCTCCACTCAGAAATTATAATAGGAAATTACCTTTTTAAGTAGTTTTCTCTACAACCCAGAATCTCTGAGTTGATCATGCAGGTATGGCCCAACCACGCGCACATGCACTGCCCTTTGTAAGCTGCGGTTGTCTTACGTTAAAGAAAAATTGATGTCGTGTGGAATTCACTACTAATGGCAGGGCCCCACAACTGGGGTCTTTGGAGAGTGTATTTCCCAGGAAAAGAACCCAAGTTCCTTGATTTAAATGATATGCAATCCAAGATAGCAGAGGATTAGGTAGAAGCTACACTAACCTCCTGTAATTGAAACCATAGTTTGGCAGCGTGCTTCAGCAAAAGCCAAACGAAAGCCAGAGACAGATGCTGGTGTAAAAAGGAAAGGTTTTATTCACATGCAAGCAACCTGGAAGAAGGGGGACTCTCATCTCAAAGCCCATCTTAACATTTCAGTGCAGGCAGGGGTTTTTATAAAGAGGGAAAGGGACAAGGAGAACAAAGAGATCAGGGGAGAGGCTGCGGACATGTGTCTTTGGTGGTCTTGATATGAATCTTTAATGTCAACGTCCTGGAAGTGGTCAGTGCCACCCAAATTCCTGCAGTTCGGCAATCTGTGTCACCCAAAGTTGTGATCCAGGACATTTCTTGTACAAGTAGAAACTGGAACTGCTGGCATGTGCAATATGCTTACAAAGAAACTGTCAGTATGTGAGTTATTTTATCAGCCTATTAGTACACCCTATTCTATTTCATGGTAAGTCAGAGTGGTATAAAGTTTTCATTCCATGTTACAATTCCCCACTGTCAATTCTGCCTCCATATCTTTGGAGCTATTGATGTCCTCAGAATCTTCTGGGGGAATAAACAACCTAAGCCTGTTATAAAGCAAAATCTTGTGAGTTAAAAGCCAGTATATTCCTTTAGAGGTGCCTGTTGAGCAGATACAATTTTTCTGGTGTGGGAAAAACTAGTCGTAAGGAAGTTTAAAACAATAAAAACAAGCATTATAAAGAAAAGAATGGTTAAACTTAAATTCCTCGTAATATGGACCTGAGTCCCTGTGGTGTCCATGAAAATAGCTAAAGGCTGGAGGAAGTCTTTGTTGTTATTTGTCCTGTTATCCCTGTGACCAAGACTGCTGTGGAGTTTTTAGTCAATTTGATGTCAGTACAGAATACATGGCTTCGGTGTCTATTAAAAAGTGAATGAGCTTGTTTGCCACTGTCAATTGTACCAGGGCTCCTGTGGGAAAATAATAATAATGGACTGGGAGGTGTCCAGAGGAGCCCCTGGGCCTCTTCACTTATTGTTTAAATAATCATTTTGTTTTACCATCTGCCTATGTGTCTTTTTAAAAATTTGTTTTCTTCTTCCTATGCCCATTGCTAGGCACCCAAGGCTTTCTGCCTTAGTGTCCTTCTGTACCTGGCCTATCGTAGTTGCTCTGATTTTGTCTAACTGCCTACTGTATTTCCCCCTCAAGGATCCTGGTTCTGAATCCTTTCAGGGAAAAGGAGTGCAGGATCCTTTCTGTAACTTCTTCCTGCTGAAAGGGGCCATCATTTTCCTTCAGAGCCAAGAGATCCTTGCACTGTCAGAAGGGTGATGAGGCCTGGGCACAGAAGGTGGTAATGGTGCCTAGAGGTAGTATTCCCTGAGTAGGAGCAGAGCTTGGAATCTGGTGGAGACAAATTATTTTACAGTTCTCAATATTATTGGGGCAAAAGCTAGAAAAATTCAGGACCTAGTTCTGTTCATAAGTGAAAAATAAAACTTTGAAGACAATGAACTGAGCCAGAGTTTAATGTCCATAACTCTGTATTATAGAGTCTATTAAAACACAATTTCCCCTCTTAAAATCACCATTATTTTTATCAAAGAGCTGGTGAAATGACAACCACTTCATTTATTGCATTAGGTCCAATTTCAAATTCAGCCTGATTATTTGCATAAACATAACAGGAATCACAGAGGACTATATAGGCTTTCTTTAAAATGCTTTGCTGGAATCTTATAAGATTCCACATTGAGCTTTAATTAGCCCCAGAGGGCAGAGAAGGCAAGCCACTCAGTTGCCATCAAGCTTTACCTGCAATCCTATAACTTTGGGTGAGTCCCACAAGTTCTTGACAGTCTTCTTGCCATTTCCCAGGAAAGCAGCATTCACTCTCTACTTGAAAAGACCACCATGAACCTTATGAATAAGCAATGTACCAGGCCATCTCTCCAAGGGGCCTGAATTGGCTTCAAAGTCAGTCTTCATTCTTTAAAGCTTTTGCTGACATCCAAAGCCTAGGCATGTCTCTCTAATACATGATATTCCAGTCAAAGTCTTGGTTAATAAAATAATTGGAAACTGGCTACGTTTCCTCTTAGGAAGAAATCAGATTCCTATTGAATCTATGCAAACAAATATATTGTTATGGAAATAATACTACCCACTCATTAAGAGTTGCCAAATTCCAGAGGGATCAGGTAGGGAAAAAATATAAATGCCTCAGTATTGCTCATGAAAGTAAAATTTACAAAATTGCTTTAAGAAAAAATAAGTTCCTTTATGTCTGAAAAACAAAAGGATTAAAAATTAGCAATGTTTTTAACAAAAAGTTACAAAGACTACAATCATCTTCAGTTTACTATCTCATAATCAATTTTCGTTTATGCTGATTATTTGCCAATAATTCTATAAATCCAGTTATTCCACAGAATTCTAGTAATCTTCATCCAGTTAAAAAATATGACCTGAAAATTTTCATTAATACGTAATTTAGAGTAAGTCGGAGACCTTTCCATGGATCTTTCTGAAGATGTAACATACTTGTAAATGCATTGGGGTAAAACAATGACTGTCTTTAAATGCCAGAAAATTTTCAAATGACATGGTTACAGAAATGATTATAATACAGTTGACAAAGGAATTTGCTTTCCTGTAACAACATTTTAAGATAACAATTAGAATTACAAATTAAAGTATATCAGCCCTGGCTGGTGTAGCTCAGTGGATTGAGCGTGGGCCTGTGAACCAAACAACCACAGTTTGATTCCCAGTCAGGGCACATGCCTGGGTTGCAGGCCAGTTCCCAGCAGGGGACTCATGAGGGGCAACCATATATTGATATTTCTCTCCTTCTTTCCTTCCCTTCCCCTCTAAAGATAAATTAATAAAATATTTTTTAAAAAAGTATATCAGAACCTTGTAGACTTGTTACTGAACCCAACCAGTGGTTGGGGTTTGGGGTTCTACCACTTGTCACCTACCAGGCAAATCTCCAAAGACTGAGATAGGTGGAAAAGAAAGGAATATTTTATTTAACAGCAAATTTCTGCTTAAAATATCTGGGTAACAAAAGGGGAAAGAAAGTCAGAGTATAACATCAAAAAATAGTCTTATTACAACTACTACTTAGGTTTGAGAAATGAAAATTTAACACAAGGACAAAAATCTGTTCACAGTGCTGACTATTATCACCAAGGTCTTTGGAAATAATGGCAAGCTTCTGCTTAACGACTGTTCTTTCTTGAGACACTCAACGAAAAATCACCCTGTCACTCTGCCAGCTCAGTTCAAGGTTACACTTGGAACCTCCTCTCCCACCCAAATGTATCATAAACAGGTGGCTTAGCTGGTCTCCAGTCGCTGTCCAGTGTCAGGAATCTTTCAGAGTCTGTGCCCCTAGGCTTCTGCTCACAGGCCCCCACTGGCCACTGTTGGCAGGCCTGCTGGTGACCACAGACATGTTGTTGAGATCTGGGAAATTGAGAACATAGCCTGACCACAGCAAAACAGGAACAAGGAACAGCATGCAAACAAAGGCTGAGCAGACATCCTGCAGTACGTGAGTGCCCTACTTAGAGCAAGATAGGCAGATTGTAATCTGTTTAGTTTTGAATTTTGAAACCCCACCCTGTTCCCGCGCGCAGTCTCTGTCAGCAAATAGCTAACTGCCATGTCTGCTTCTGTTCAACGCTTGCTTGCTTGTCCCTATATAAGGACTTAGCTGTAAGCGCTCGGCGCGGCTCTCGTCTGCAGCCCTCGTCTGCAGCCCTCTGGGCACCGTGTCTCAGGACACTCCGAGAGTTCGCCCCTGCGCAGGTTCCAATAAAGTAAGATCAAAACCCTGAAAGGTCTTGGAAAATTATTCTCGAGTCCGGTGGATATAACAATGTCCCCTGCCCAGGGGAGGGGGAAGAACCAACTGAGTTTTTGCTTCCTGGCACACCCCATTTCAAATGTCCTCTCCCAGAATTTCATGCACACTGAAAGCCAGTGGGAGTGTTAGCCTTCCAACCAATGCGGGACAGTGCCAGCCATGTTTGCCTTTGCCCCTCTTCTGGCCACTATGTTTAGCAAGAGGGCAAAGTCTCCAGTCACACATGATCAGCTCAAACCTCTTCCCAATTTCTAGGGGTGTGTGTCCCCCATTACAGACTCTTGGAGATTTTTATATAGTTTCTAGAACTTCCACTTTAAAAATTAAAATATGTGCATACAAATAGAACATAGTTACTATTTCTTTATTTGTCAAAGCTTTTTATGTACTTTCAGCATATCAAATAGGTTTAATTAGTTCAAAATTTCTTCCTCATAAAGAGAAAAAAACAAATCCTCAAGGCATTCCAGGGACCCACAGGAATGACCTAAAGCCAATACTAAATCAAGAAAAAGTCTCTTAGAACTTAAGCCCTGGGAAGGTTGTCAAACATAATTAACCAAAAGATTATATATCATTATGAAACAATATTAAATTATTTATTTACTCAAAGTGACAATAAACATCAAACATAAATTCAGGCTAGCAAAACTTTAGTTCTTATGATAAAGTTCTTATGGGTTTTAAGGTAATCAAGTACCTGATTAACACAATATAACACATAACTATTTTTAAAGATATAGAATCTTTGCTTTCTAGGCAGATGCAGGAACAATTTTTTCCCTTTTAACAGACTAAAAAAGAACCAAACAAATTCTTTAATAGTTTATTTTTGATATTTAGGTTCATTTACCTAATTAAATTCATTATTCAGCTAAACTATATAATTTCCTCTCGATATCCTCTTTATAAACCTTCTTCGACTTGCACAAGACTTTGTGTGAAATACACAATCTTTCTGCAATTTATAGTTCCTTTTAGTTCGCTGCTTCTTAACTCATTCAGAAATAACCAGCTTTAGAACAAATGATTTTTTTCCTTGAAAAAGTGTTTTCATACTTTACACTTTCTATTACCAAACCATAGTTTCATTCTAACTAAATTAGAATTCTTAATTCTTAGAAACTTTGATTTTTAGTGATAACTAAAAGTAAGTAATTAGCATTGTTAGAATGATACTTTTAAGAATACATTTCATAACTTTCAGAAATAGCCTCCCATTGGCAAATACACTCACATTTTCAACAGACATACTTCAAATGAAGTATAATACATATTCATTAACAGATCCAAATTCATTTTCTAGCTTCCCTACAATAAAAAGCCAAAGTAGGCTAGCTCAGATCAATGAATAGTTCAGTATTCTGTTATTTCAGAATATCTAGGTATTTGATGATTTTTACCATTTAACCCAGAAAAACTCTAAAGTTCCAAGTCACCAAAGACTTTCAAAAATTATGTTTACATTTATTTGTAATGATTACTGAAAAGCCTTATAAAAACTTTGCATTTTAATTACATCTATTTACTCTTTACAACTTTATAAGATTTTAAAGTCAGTTATTACTCAAGTCATTTTCTTGACAAATTCTGTAAGAGATAACATGAACTTATTGCTGCAAACACAGGCAAAACATTTTATGCTAATAACTTTTAAAGATATCAATTAAATTAAAACCAGCCTTAACATCAAATATTTTTCTATATGATCCTGAGAAAATATTTGAGATATAGTTTTTATTTTTTTCCATACACATAACAGAAGACAAGATTTTCTTTTTTTATTTTTGTATATGTCCTTGACAACTTTAAGGAACCTGGAGATATCAGGCTTGGCTTGCTTTAGCCACTTGAATTATTTTTAAAAGTTCCCATTTTTTTTTCACATTGAGGTGGCATAGTTGCCCCTACTCCGGCAGCCTGCTCTGGGTTTGGCATTAATTTCCCTATTGTTTCCAGGACTGCAGCAAATCCGGGACCTCCAGGAGGAGGATTTAGAGTGTGTATAAAACTTATCTCCTCATTTTTTTCTACTTTCTGAGTTTTACAGTCTGAGAGGGGAATGAGATCTTTTCCCCTCTTTGTACTATCAATTTAAATTCTGAGTAGAATCCTTGTAGCATAACAATATGAAAGTCTGCACATAAGAAATTCTATTTACCAAAACTTTGGCAAACGATTCTAATTAGTCATTGACATAGCATAAGTTGACCAGTCAGCTTAATGGACCTAATGGATTCTCTGATGGCATCGAGACTGAGCTGCCCATTTCAAAACAGAAACAAAAACATCTAAAGCAAAGATCTCAAAGGAATGAGTATTCTCCAACTAAAGCTTCTAAAACACAGGTGGCAAATATAAGGCCCACTGGCCAAATCCGGTCTCCACCTGATTTTATCTGGCCCAGCACCTTGTTTGTACCCAGCGCTGAGCTCCTTGCCCCTAGTTAAGGAGTAATTAGATTTATACAGTCCTAAAATTACATTCGGCCCTTTGAAGGCAACCACGAGGCTGATGTGGCCCCTGGTGAAAATGAGTTTGACACCCATGTTCTAAAAGGAAGGACTGGGACACTATTGCAAATGACTTTCACAAGGTCAAAATGGCAAAGTCCAAATGGTAGGGACAGAGGATTCACTGTATGCACAAAACAGCAAAGAGCAAGCCAAGTCCTTACAGGATAAGAAAGCAAGCAAAGAACAACTGAAACCAAAGTTTCATTGCAGACAGACAAGAGTTCTCAGAGAGCCCCTAAACAGAACAGATGAGAGCTCTCAGAAAAAAATATTCAAAACTGAGAAATCCATAAATCAAAACACCAAGTGTGCTCCGAATCCCACACTGGGAGAACTGAAGTTTTCTTAGTCACTGAGCCGTACCTACCACCGAAGAGCACCTAGTGATTTCTACAGAATCCCGGACAGTCGGGCACCCTGCCTCACCCGAAGTCGTGGTAAAGGCCGTTTCTTGTATAGCCAGGAATTGGAACTGTTGGTGCTTGCAATATGCTTATAAACTGTCAGTATGTGAGTTCTTTTTATCAGTTTATTAGTATACCTTATTCTAACTCCATTTCATGGTAAGTGAGAGGGGTACAAATTATTTATTCCTTGTTACATTCCCAGGATCAAACTGGATTTACAATTAAATTATAGAAACATAATCCTGAGTGATGAACTGAAGACTAGCTGGAGAGAAGCCTCATAACCAAGGACTTACAGAAGAAGCCACATTGAGACTGAGACATGGGAATAACACAAGTGTCAAAACAGTTGAGAGCATCCTCATGATGACTCTTGCACTAGAAAAGCTGTCGTCTACTTTTTTTGGAAGCAGTATGGCCAAAGAGAAGAATGTCTCTCAAATTCCAGCTTTGAGGAGGAGTTCAGATTGCCAGAACTGGACTAGAACTTCTGAATTTCTGGGGGTGTGAGGCCCTGTGGCTTCCTTGGGAAGCTGTGCACCAACCCTCAAGCCTCACCTTCATTAGCACCGCCCCCCCAATCCCACCAACTCTGGGCTGCTGGAGTCTGGGGCCACTCAGGTGTGCAGCTTAAATCCTGCCTCACTGTGAGGAGGGAGAGGAGCACCAGCAAGAGGTAGTTGTCCGCTCTGCAGGGGAAAAGGACTGCTTGGTCCCTGGTGATGCTGGGAAAAAGGCTTGCTCTTCTGTAGTTACTCTCAACCGAAGACTAATAAATGTTGCCTAAATAAAGGTTGGAACCTAAGGTGGGGGAGGGGTGCTTTGTTGCTAAGGTGTGCATGCATGACACAGCTGCCAATTGTGACACATCTGCCAATTGTTGGCTCTCACTCAGCATGTGGGGCCAGCATCCCACTTGCTTGGGTCACTTGCTGTGCCTTGGACCTCTGCCTGTCACGTCCAGGCTGCACCTCTGGGCCCCATGGCTCCTTTTCACATGGCAGCTGTTGTGGCTGCTGGTCCAGACACCTCAGTCTCCAGTCTCCGGAGTTAGCCCTAGACCCTGTCCTGGTGACCTCCGTTTCCCTGTGGGCTCACCAAGCCCTGGTCTGGATTAGCAAAACCTCGCATTTGAGCCTTCATATATCTCTGGAAATGCTGAACCCTTATCATTCCAACAGGAAGCCTCAGTTCTGCCTACAGAGTCCTCTGGGGAAATAGAACCTTCTTCAACCCATCAGAAGGCCCCAGCTCACCAACCAGAAACCCCTAATTCAGGAGAATCATCTTCAGTCCAGGAGAAGACGTAGCTCAGCCTGCTGTGTCCCCTGAGTTGTTGAAATCTTCGTTAGTTTATCAAGAAGTTTTAGATCAGCATCGAACCCCCCACCACTCTAAAGACATTGAAGCTTTAATTCAGCCAAAGTGCTCAACTCTCTCAGTTGCCAGTACAACCTTCTCCAGTCCAGCAGAAGGATTCAGTTCAACCTCCAAAATCCTCTACACATGGTGTAGCTCAACATTCAATGCATCATGAGATGATAGTCTAAACTCTAGGTATGGGTGAAGCTCAGCATTCAGTGTTGCCTAGTCAAATGTTATTAAGTGTGGATCCTGGGGTTTTGAAAACATCAGAGCACCCTAAAGGGATTAAGCCATCTGTAATTGAAAAGAGGTCTCAGCTCACCCTGCAAAATCAACTAAAGTGGGAAAACCTCCAACCAAGCAGGGTGTCCCTCCAAAGAACATTGAAGAGATAAAAAACATCTCTATCACAGGAAAAGACATCAGCTCAGCCTATATTGGAAGCTGAAACTATAACCCTGCAGGAGACTACAGACCCAACAAAACACTTTGAAGTGGTATTTCCACATCCAGAGCCTTTTCAGACTCACCTGAATGAAGGCTCCACCGCAACCTTGCCTGAATTCGCAGTTCAATCTTTGGAAAGGAAGCAACCCATAACACCATAATCTGTGGGGGAGGAGGAACATCTAACAGTGTTGTAGCAGAGTACCGCTCCACCAAAACCCTGAGGTACACTTCTACCTCCAGAAGTGTACCTCAGAAGTGTATGTCAGGTTCAGCAGCCTACCTTGCCTGAAATCACAGTTCAATCTTTGGACCTGGAGTTCACCGTAATACCAGAACCATCTGTGGAAGCAGAACATCCTATAACCATGCAGGAGACCACAGCTTCTTCAAAACACTGTGAGTTGACACTTCCACATGCACACACTGGGCAGACTAAGTAGCAAACCCTGTCTGATCACAGGTCAAGCATAGGACCTGGTGCTCATCATAACACCATTACCTGTTGTGGTGGCTGAACATCCTACAGTCCTTCAGCAGACTACAGCCCCTCAAAGCACTCTGTAGTGACATTCCCACATGCAGAACCTGTTCAAGCTCAGCAGCTTAACTTGTGTGAAGTCACAGTTCATCCTTCAGACATGGATCTCACCATAACGGCAGAATCCACAGTGGAGGTTGAACATCCCACAAGCCTGCAACAGACTACAGCTCCTCCAAAGCATCCTGAGGTGATACTTCCACATACCCAGACTGTTCAGGCTCAACAGCTTGTGTGTGTGAAATCACAGTTCAGCCTTTGCACTGGAAACTCCCTATAAACCCCAAACGTACTGTGGAGGCTGAATACAGTGCTGCAGCAGACTACAGGTTCTTTAAAACACCATGAGTGATACTCCCACACTGACAGGCTGTCAGGCTCAGCAGCCTACCTCATCTAAAGCCACAGTTCAACCTTTGGACCTGGAGTTCATAGCACCAGAACGTACTGAGAAGGCTGAAATCCTATAACCTTTCAATAGACTACAGCTTCTCAAAACACTGAGGTGACACTTTCACATGCACAGGCTCTACTGGCTCATCGGCCAGCCTTGTCTGAATCACAGTGAAACATTCGTACTTGGAGCTCACCATAAACATAACCTACTTGGATGCTGGACATTCTATAACCCTTGAGCAGACCACAATTACTTCAAAACACTGAGAGGTAATACTTCCACATTGAAAGTCTGTTAAGACTAAGCAGCAAACCTTGTCTGAAGTCCCAGTTCAGCCTCAGGACCTGGAGCTCACCGTAACACCAGTACCTATTGTGGAGGCTGCACAAGCCCTGGGACCCATGCAGGCGTGCAGGTTCTCCAAAGTGTCACCCTGAAGTGACACTTCCACATCCACACACTGTTCAGTCTCAGCAGCCAACCTGGTATAAAATCACGGGTCAACTTTTAGACTTGGAGCCACCATAAACCCAGAACCTACTGTGGAGACTGAATGTCCTACAGTCCTGCAGCAGAGTACGGCTTCTCCAAAACCTGGGGGGGGGGACACTTTCAGATTTGGAGCCTATTCAGGCTCACTAGCTAACAATGAATTCATAGTTCAACCTTGGACATGGAGCTCACTATGACACCGGAACCTACAGGGGAGGTTCAACATCTTACAGCCCAGTGGCAGAATACAATGCTCCAAAGAACCCTGAGGTGACACTTTGACATTTAGAGCCTGTCTTGCTCAGTAGCTAAACATGTGTGAAGTCATAGTTCATTCCTTGGACCTGGAACTCACCATAACACCAGAGTCTCCTATGGTGGCTGAACATCCTACAGTCCTGCAGCACAGTACATCTTCAAAACCCGGAGGTGACACTTTCACATTTAGAGCCTGTTCAGGCTCAGAACTTAACATTGTGTGAATTCATAGTTCAGTTTGGACCTGCAGTTCACCATGACATGACACCAGCACCTACTGTGGATGCCCAACATCCTACAGCCTTAAAGCAGAGTGCAGTTCCTCCATAGCAGGAGGTGACACTTTTCATATCCCAAGTTGTTCAGGCTCAGCAGCAAATCCTGTGTCAAGTCACAGTTCAACATTTGGATCTGGAGCTCACCATGACACCAGAGCCTGCTTTGGAGGCTGAACATCCCTGCATTGGAGTACAGCTTCTTTAAAGCACTCTTAGGTGACACTTCCACATCCACAGCCTGCTCAGGCTCGGCAGCCGACCTTGTGTAAAATCACAGTTCAACTCTGGACTTCAAGCTCAACATACACCCAGAACCTACTGTGGAGGCTGTACATACTACCACCCAGCAACAGACTAGAGACCCTTCAAAGCACTCTGAGGTGATGCTTTCACATACACCAACCTTCAGGCTCAGGAGCCAACCCTGTCTCAAGTCACAGTTCTACCTTTGGACCTGAAGCTCACCATGACACCAGAGCCCAAGTGCAGGCTAAACTTCCTATAGCCCTGCAACGGAGTACAGATCCTTCAAAGCACGCAGCGGTGACACTTCTACCTCAAGAACATGTTTTGGCTCAGCAGCCAACATATCTGAAGTCACAGTTCAACCTGAGGGCCTAGTGTTCATCAGAACACCAATACCTATTGTGAACGTTGAATATCCTACAGCCCTGCAGCAGAATATAGCTTCCCCAAAAGACTCTGAGGTGACGCTTGCACATTAGAGCCTGTTCAGCCTTAGTAGCCAACCCTTTGTGGTTTCCCAGTTCATCCTTTGGACGTGGAGCTCAGCATAACACCAGAACCTACTGGTGGTGGCTGAACACCCCATAGCCTTGCAGCAGAGTACACCTTCTTCAACAAACCCTGAGGTGAAACGTTCATGATTAGAGCCTGTTCAGGCTTAGCAGCCAATCTTGTCTGAAATCAGTTCAGACATTTGGACCTGGAGGTCACCGTAACACCAGAATCTATTGTGGAAGCTGAAATACCCTATATCCCCACAGCAGACTACATGAAAGTTCCTCATCCAGAGCCTGTTCATGTTCAGCGGTCATCCTTGTCTGAATTCAGTTAAACCTTTGGACCTGGAATTTATCAGAACTCAGCAGCCAGAGTCATCGAGCAGGTCCTCCAACAACTGAACAGAATGCCAACATGAACATATGTGAGCTCTGTACCAGCGATAGTGAGACTCTGTCATGTTTTGGTCTTGACCCAAAGCAGAAGCTCCACAAAGTGTCTGTACCAGAGTCCAACTCCTACAATGGCACCTTCATTATCTTAAATGCAAGGAAACTCTATTTGTTACAGTAATAAAGATACTTGGAAGTCATACTGTTGGGCTGGAAACTAATCCTCGGTGAAAATAATTTGAGAGAATTACGTAAGAATTCAACTGAAGGCCTGTATCTCTCAAGTATTTAATTTTCAATTGTAATTCTGATGACTCTTGAAGATTTGTATCTTTTTAAGTTGCCAGCATTAAAATATTGAGACATAGGAACAACACAAGTATCACAACAGTTGAGAGAATCTTCACAATGAGCCTTGAACTGGAAAAACTGATTCTACCTCGCCACTTGGCTTGCTGTCTAGGCTAATTTAAAAATGAGGCAAGATAGTCAGACTGCATTGTGATAATGAATGTCTGACACCCATTGTGATGAACAACTATACTTAGAAAATACAGAAAGCTCTTTCATGGAAATATTACGAGGCTGAAAGAAGAAGAACAGCACTGAGCTAATGGCTGAGCCAGTGAGGGCATCCTCAGGCAAAAGAAGGCGACAGCTTGTCAGTCTTTATGATGAAGCTTCTCAGTGAGCAACGAGAAGTAAGGTTTCTAAGCCACAGTGGGATACAGAGCAATGGAAAAATAAGAGGACAGAAGCCCAGGGAGAACAGGAAGAGCAGGAGTCACGTGAGCTCACCAGAGTGCCAGGGTATGGGTATAAGCAGTCTGGTCGGGGCGGTGCCTCTGACTGTAGCAGCAATGATTTTTATTGTAACTGCCTGTCTCACTGTAATCTGTGATGGAACAGCATCAAAGGAAGGTAAAGAAGGAAGCTTTTTCTTAGTTCTCCAGCACAAGATGCTCATCAAAACATAAGATGGAGGGTGTTTTCTGGAAAAGGTTTAGGATATGTATGGACCTCACAACACCATATGCAAGAAAAATGTGGCCCAGAAGCTACATGACAAGGATTCATCTGATGAGGATGAGCTTTTTGTCAAAATGGTGAAGGCTGAAGCATCCACCTTAACAGCCTGAAGGAGCACTGCTAAGAGACAGGTGAAGAAAGTGAAACACGACACCATCACCCAGTGAACCCCATCCTCGGGCCACCTGCAAATTATATCTGGAAATGTTGGCTCAGCATTGCTGACAAAATACATATTTTCCTATTAAAACGTATAAATTCATAACCAACTTAGAAAATCTGGAATTTGTTATAAATTGTATTCTCATGTTTAAACTTCAGTCATCTTTCAAAGTACTCTCCACCTGATACAACACTCTTATCCAGGCGTTTCTTTCCACTGCACAAAAGGTCTTTGAACTCAATTGATTCTGATGCCTTTCAGTGCATCTGTAGTTTTTTTTGTTTCTCCTCTTCCACATTAGCAAAACATTTCCCTCTGAGGACATTTGTCATTCAGGGAAACAAACAAACAAAAAATTTGCTCAGGGCAAGACCAGAAGAATAGAGGGGGGCACAGGTTTTTGTCGAAAACTGCTCAATAGTCAGCATGGTGTGGGTTGGTGCACTGGTAGATCACCCATTGTGAAATGGGCAACTGTGTTGAAAGTTAAAAAAAAATTCACTGAAGTCGAACGCACCCCACACCAGCTGGTGCACTGATACAGAAGAGTTCCTAGAACATTCACCTAGCAGGGGAAGCCTGTACTGTACTACAAGGGCCTGCACTCCAGAAGATAATTCTGTTTTTTTTTGGATTCCCCTGATAATAATAAATGCTATTATTCTATAAAGATTTTTCTTTTTTTTTTTTTAAAAAAAGAACCCCTCATATATATAGAAAAATAATCATGAGGCAAACTACCTATCAGTTAACTTCTGTGTGCTGCTAGAATTAGTATAACTGAGCTCTCAATCTGGTTTATTTCTCTACCACCATGGAGGGAAAGGAGAAAAATGAATGGTAAAATCATTTGTTCGTAGGAAAGAAGGCTGGGATTCCACATTCATTTTGAAAACTTTTCATGGAAAGAATTGCCATCCTCACTCAGGCATGGGAGGATTGTGACCCAGTGGAGTAGGAAAGAGTCAGATAAAATATATAGTTAGTAGTTTTCTATTCTGAACAGTCAGCCCCTTTCAAGCCCATGGGGCAGCACTTTCCAAGTTCATGTGGGGAACAGTAGGAAAGTTGCCCAAATGTGCCTGTGAGCAGATGGATGAAGACCTTGCAAACCTTTCATCAGGCATAACACTCTTCTGGAGGAACAGCTCTTTGTGTTCTTTCCTGCTTGAGAAGTATAGAGCTTAAGGTGTATCTGATGTTCTGTAGGTTATATATTGAGTTTTTTGGAGCAACTCATTTGCAATTGACATTACTGAAGCATGTTCTAAGTTCTAAGCAGAGAGCTAGGATGAATAAATTGTCTTTATTACTTTCCACATGTACAAAGATTCCTTCAGTTAGGTCCTCTATTATCCTAAATGCCTTCTGGTCATTAGCCAACATAAGTAGGCTGCCGTAGGACTTCCCATAGGGAAAATTAAAACGTGATTTTCTCCTTTTGTTATTTAGTCTCTAGGCTGAGAACTCTGAGTAGTAAGAAACACAGGATAAGGATGGGACAGACTGAGCCTTTGTGAGAGTGCACTCCTTTGCTGAATGCCACTTTGAATGGAAAGAAGAAATCAAATGGCAATTTCCAGTCGATTCTGGGTTGGCCCCGTGGAGGCTCTGGCTTCTGGGTTATGTCCACAAAGGTCACAATAGTTGTCAAAGACATTTCTGTTACTTTGGAATCCTGCAGGAAAGAAGTCCATGACAGGTCAGCACTTGGTACCAGTTCAAATAGCCCTCCACTTGACAACCTATTACTTCCCCCAAAAAGACCAAAACCAAATTGCTGTTAAGCAAGATATTACCTTTTTCTCATATTGATCCTACCGAGTTTTCTATGAGATACAGAAAGTGAATTTCTTAGCAGCAGTCCTTGACACCAGCACTGGGAACAGTTAACAGCTACCTAAAGACTGACTCTAGCTTCCCCCAACTGGGAGCTGCCTGGTATCAGAGAGGCCAGATGGCAGAACTATCTATGACATGCTTAGCTGCTCCACCTTCCAGGTCCAAGAAGCTTCCAAGCTCTGACACAGTACACATGTACTAGCGGAAGTAGGAGTGGCAATTCCACTCTTTACTCAGTTGTAGGAAGAAACTAGAAACTTCCAGTTTCTAGTGGAAGAAGCAAAGAACACAGAAATGGAGATTAAAAAAAATTAGGTTCACAGCATCTCAGGATTAGAAAGGATCCTCCCAACCACCCGCCAGTTCAAGTCAAACAAAACAGATGCTCCCAGGAGAAGCGGCCTTGCCAAGCCGACGGAGGGTCTCGTCTAACAGCCGCTTTCGGTAGATGTGGCTGCAGCCTGATGGAACTGCCAGATACAGACACGTGGGAGAAACTTCTCACATTAAAGAAAAAACTACCGAGTGAGCACGATAAGTAAGCTCAGAGGAAACAGACAAGGAAAGATGAAGATAAAATGTTAATAACTTAAAAGATATATAAGGATATAACAAAGCAGAGAAAAATGAAGGAACTCTTCGATATTAAAAATATAATGCCAAAATAAAAAATTCGGTAAGAAGGTTAACAGACAAAGTTGAAGAACTCTTCTAGAAAAAACAAAAAGTTAAAGAGATAGATAATATGAGAGACAAGAAGAGTAGAAAATCAATTAGTGACCCTGTAACAGATTAACAGGAGTTCCAAAAAGAGAGAACAAAGAAAATAGTAAGGAAGAAATTAAACGTGTAATACTAGTAATTTTTCAGAATTGAGTTTTCAGAGTAAAAAAACTCCACAGATTGTTCGATATGATAAATGAAGAAAAAAACCTACTTGAGGCATAATATGTTAGAAGCTTCAGACTACTAGGAGTAAACTGGAAATCTTAAAATCAAGCACCAATCTTAAAATGGTGCTTGAACAGCAGTATTAAAAACTAAAAGACAATGGAAGGATGCCTTCAAAATTGTGAGTGAAAATCATTTTCAATCTAGAATTGTTACCTACCCAAATGATCAATTATGAATCATGATAATGATGATGATGGTGGTTGAATGAAGTTGTCTTCAGACATGTGAACTAAAGGAAAAAATGTAGTTTACATGTGCCTGTTTTCAAAGATGTTATTAGAATTTGAAGTCCACCAAAATGAGAGTAAATTGAGAAAAAGAAAAAAATAGTGTTCAGTAAACAATGAATCTAACACAAATATGAAGCAAGAGGAATTCCCAGGATGACAGTAAAGAAAAGTTGACTAACAACTGCTGGGCAGTAAACAGTCCACATTACATCAGGTTATGCAGGTCTCCATAAAGAAAATACAAAGGTCCAAAAGAACCTATGCACCTCAATGTTCATAGCAGCACAATTTACAATAGCCAAGAGTTGGAAGCAGCCTAGGTGCCCATCAGTAAATGAATGGATCAAAAACTATAGTACATTTACACAATGGAATTCTCTGCAGCAGAAAGAAAGAAGGAGCTCCTAGCCTTTGCAACAGCATGGATGGAACTGGAAAGCATTATGCTGAGTGAAATAAGCCAGGTGGTGAAAGATAAATACCATATGATCTCACCTTCAACAGGAACCTAAACAACAAAATAAATAAGCAAGCAAAATATAACCAAAGACACTGAAATAGAGAACAGGGGGACAGCGACTAGAGGGGAGAGGGGAGGGAATTTCAGGGGAAAAGGGGAAAGGTTTACAGGAATGAGTATAAAGGACACATGGACAATAACAAGGAGGGGTATAGAAATGGGAGGGAGGTGGGGAGGGCTAGGGGGTAGGCTGGGATGGGGGAAAAAGGCAGAAAACTGTACCTGAACAACAATTAAAATTAAAAAAATATGTAGGAAAGGTAGAGCTGATAACATTACATGGAGAGTTTAAGTGTTTGAAAAACTGCAGTGAGAAGTTTTACAGAGCTGTTGGATAGTGTGAGAAGTCTTAGCCATCAGCTAAAAGAAAACTAAAGAAATGAAATATGAGGTAATTACTAATTTCAGGAAGAATGAAAGATCTCACAAAAATTTAATTTCTTGACTCAACATATTTATATAATCATAATATTGAAACACTCTATTTATTTAATAAAACATTTTGAGGTAACTACCTTGGGACAGTAATGGAAGGGTAAGAGAGACTAACAGATCTCAACTCACCTGCCAAAATGGGAAGTCAATAGATTATCTATAAACTCCTGATTCAAGAGATAACTGAATAAAATATTGTCTAGAAATTGAGGTAAATACCAGAAGAAAAGAGTAAAAGAGTCTAACAGATAATTTTTGAAGATCAGGATGGTAAGGAGGATTATGAGACTTTTTTTTATAAGAGATCCTCTTCTGGCATTTTTTGCCTTTAAAAATATATATATGCTATTTTGATAAATTATACAACTATTAATTTGAGAAATTATACCATTACTTAGCATTAGCCTCATCTGCGAGGGAACTCGGAAATACAAGGTAGGCTTCACAGCCCCAGCACCTTGTGTTGTCCCCACCCAAGGAAAGGGAGTGGGGCTTTCTATGCCTTTGCCCGTAAGTCACAGGTTAAGGGCCGTCTAGGAAATGTGTATTTCCAGGCCCTCCACATGGGTTCCGGTAGTTGGAGGACATCTTTGCAAAACAAACGAAACACAAGAGGGGGAAAACATCAGGAGAAAAAAGTGGGGGAGGGAAGCCAGGGGTGCAAAATACAAGGGTTACTGCAGAAAGAAAAATTATACTTGGTAATCAACAGGGTATCATATATAAGACATAAAAGAACTCAATGAAATGCCCCAACTAAAAATGTATCCACCATCTTTGACTCATTCTTCCTCAATCTCCACATCCAAGCAGTCATGTTCTATCTGTGACACCCCCGAATCTTCTGAACTCTGTCTGCTTTCTGCAGCCCTCACAGCCCCCACCTGGGCCCAGGCGTCCTCAACATCTCCTGGTGAATTTTGGCAACAGTGCTCTAAACTTCCCCTCGGTGTTGCCCCTCACCTTCTGAAACAGCAAGGGCAATGTCTACTTTGCTTATCATGCTATACCTAGCACCAAGCCTGGTACTTGGCACAGAGTAAGCACTCAATGAAGATTTCATTTTTGACAAATGAGCAGAGGTATTTTTGGAGACACAGAATAGAAATTAACAAGAAATAAATCACAGGGTAGAAAGTATGCTATAGCTTAAGAGTCAATAATTACAGATCACTTTGTAACCTTAACCTTACCTCCAACACTGTAATTACGATTCCTGAAGGCTGTGCTTCATTTATTCATGTATTTACTTATTAACTAACATTTCAAATGAAATGCTTATTCTTCATATATTAAACAAAATTGCCTCTGCTCTGGCCACATGGCTTAGTTGTTGGGAGTGTCTTCCGTATGCCAAAAGGTTGTAGGTTTGGTCCATGGTTGGGCACACGAGGCAACTGATCAATGTTTCTCTCTCTGTCTCCATCCCTCCCACTTCCTCTCTCTCTAAAATTAATAATTAAAAAAATATATCAAGTGAGAAGAAAAAGTATATATGTGTGTGTTCTTTCATGCCTCTTTCAAGTCTATTTCCTGTCCCTTTCACAGGCAACCACCTTCTGACTTTTGTCACTAATGATCAATTTTGTCTATTCTTGTATTTCATAAAAATGGAATCTTACAGTGTACTTTTAAATGTGTTTGGCTTTTTTCACTTCAAATGTTCTTATGATTTATTGCTGTTGTTTTGCATACCAGTAATTCATTGTTTTATTACTGAGTAGTATGGGAATATACAACAATTTGCTCAGTCTCTTGATGATGACTATTTGAGATGTTTCTAGTATTGTGCTGTCATTGATAAGGCTGCTATGAACATTCTGGTACACGTTTTGTTTTGGACATGTGTATTCATTTCTTTTGGTTAAATATGCAGGAGTAAAATTGCTGGGTCATAGGGAAGACAAATTTGTAAAGATCAAGAGGTTGTACCATTTTCATTCCTCCCAGCGGTCTATGAGAATTGTAGTTATTCCACGTTCCCGCACTGTTTCGTGTTAGCACTCTATTTTAGCTATTCTTGTGAATATGCTGGTGATATTCTAGTGAGTGGTGTCTTGTGGCTTTAATTTTGTATGTCCCTAAGGACTAATGATACTCAACACCTTTCATGCTTATTGGTCATTTGTGTATCATTCAAATCTTTTGTCCATTAAGATTTTTCTGTCTTCACATTACTCATTTGTAGATATTTTAAATTCTGACATGGATTTTGTTGCCAGATAATGTGTTAATGAATATTTTTCCAAAATTATAGCCTGCCTTTTCCTTTTCATGATGGTATCTTTTCATGAGCAGAGATTGAACGATATTTGTTTCCTGTCCAAGAAATATATGCCTGCTTCAAATCTGCAATGATACTGTCCTGTGTTTCTTTTAGAAGTTTTGTGACTATGGATTTAGGGTCTATATATAGGTCTACAACCCAGACACACGTACTTTTTGCATATGGAACTAATTAATTTTCCCCACTATGTTTATCCAGTAGTTCCAGTTTTATCCAGTTGTTCCAAAACCAATTATTTTTTAAAAAAATGTCTCCTTCCCATTGAATCGATTTGTGGATCTATTTTTAGACTCTATTCTGTATCGTTGGTCTATTTGTCTAGCCTATGCCACTACTGCACTGAGAGTTACAGTAAATCTTGAAATCAGTAGAGAAAGTCCTCCAAATTTGTTGTTCTTTTTCAAAATTGTTTTGGGTTTTTAAGTCCTTTATATTTTTATGTAAATTTTTGAATCAGCTCACCTATTTCCACAAAAATGCCAGGTAGGAATTTTCTGTGGGGTTTGCATTGAATCCACAGATCCATTTGGGGATATCTTAATTTTGACTCTTCTACGTCATGGTATATTTCTCAATAATTTATTTAGGTCCCCTATGATGTCTCTCAGAAATGCTTTATAGTGAAGAAGTCTACCCCTTTTGCTAAATTGGTTCCTAAGTATTTCACGTTTTTTAATGCTAGTGTAAATGAAATGGAATAAATTCACTTTTATAACATCTAGTTATTTTTAGATGTGTTCCTAGTGACGTTTTCCCCTAGTGACTTTTTTTTCCCTATTGACTTTAAGAAAGTTTATTACAAAAGTGGTAAATTATATTGTGAAGAGTTAAAGAATTTAGATAAGTGAAAATAAGAAAAACACTCTATTTCCATCACTAAGAATACCACTATTAACATCTAGCTCTTTATACACAAAAACATCCATATATGCATTGTTCACCAAAAGGTATCATAGCAGATAGGCTGTTTCATAATTTGCTTTAAAAAAAAGTTAACCTCTACCTTTTCATGTTAGTAATATTTCTATCTAAAATATAGTCTGTACTCAAAGTTTTCCCAACTATCCCAAAATGTGCTTTATGATTGTTGAAATCAGAATCCCAGTCCAAAAACATGAACTGTATCTGTCTGTTATGATAATTTAAAAGAAATTAACCTATACTATACTCTGGGTTCAGGATATAAAAGAAAAAAACTGAGGAAAAAGGATATAGATGTATCCATCATGACAGCATGCTATTTCAGTAAGCAGGCAGGGAGGATCAAGATGAAAGTTAACTGTGTCTGCTCACTCTAACCAAACATTGGCTGGTAGCATTAATTGGCTCTCAGAAGTCAAAAATTATATGGTCATGAAATGGTTGATGAGACAATGTAGGCTTTGCAAGGATTAGTGAACCTTTATGAGTCATGACTTACCTTTACGGACTGACACTGGTACAAGAAGCGTGCTCCTGATATATGAGCTTGTGGGTTGGACTGGAGGCCTATATATGCCCACAATACCTGGATCTCCAGGGAAACTGGCAGGACACAGCAGGATGCACAATGTATAGCCTGCAGAAGAGTAAAGAAGCGTCTGCTTGAATTGCAGATGGTTGCCTATAATCAGTCACCATGCATTAAGTACCCTCGTTTCTTTCTTTTTTTTTAATTTTATTTTTTAATTAAAATTTTTTTATTTATTTATCTTTAGAGGGGAAGGGAAGGAGAGAGGGAGAGAAATATCAATGTATGGTTGCCTCTCATGTGTCCCCTGCTGGGAACTGATCTGCAACCCAGGCATGTGCCCTGACTGGGAATCGAACCATGATACTCTGGTTCACAGGCCCGCGCTCAATCCACTGAGCTACACCAGCCAGGTCGTTTCTTAAACACTGTACAATAACAGAGAAGGCAGTGCGGCTTAGAGAACGCAAAAGTTCACCATAAGTCATGTTATGTCCTTGATTTTAGGAAGATTAATATTCTGAAATGGAAACTACTAATACAGAGATTATAAAATGTGAGCCCATTTACACTGTTTATGAGAAGTGCTCAGTGAGTGGTGCACAGTCAGTATTGTGGAACACCAGAGGACAGAACTGAGATGAGTAATCTGTGACTGGAGAAAGTGGCAATTAAAGGAAAATTCAGGTGGAGAGATGGCATATAAAAAAGTACACAACTAGAAAAGCACATTATGCCACGGAGGGACATTCACTGATTAATGTGAATAGTAGTTACTGAGTACCTCCTCTGTGCTTGGCGTGTACCAGACAATGGCCTTGAGCAGACACTTGACTGGAGCAAAGGACTTGAACACAGGAGCAGTGAAGGTTAAGAAAGAAGACATATCAGGGACTTCCGCCAAGATGGAGGCATAGGTGGAGATGCCATGCTTTCTCACACAACCAAGTTTAGAGACAACAAAATATTAGCAACAGAAAACACAGTCAGAACACAGAAAATTGAACTTTTCGGAAGTCTGATAACAACAAATGCTTCAGCCTGACAGGTAAGAGGGGTGAAACCAGCAGCTGGCGGAGCGGGATAGCACAGGAAAACTCGGTCAGACAGACTCAGGCGCGTGGATCCCAGGTATGGGGTTGCAAAGGGCAGATCCAGTGAACAACCCAGTGAGTGACCCACGGACCCTGCGAGGGCACAGGGCGGCACAGGTTGACTGTAGTGGCGCATTCCTGCGCAGATAGACCAGCAAGGGAGTGGGCAGTGAGACGGGACCCAGCAATCCTGCCCTGGAGGCCCTGCCCCGCCCCTAAGGCTCCACTCCTCATACTTAATGGGCGTGAACAGACCAAAAATGGCTCAGGAAGATCTCAAAGCCCCAGAGCCCATAACTCTAAGCGACGAAGAAATAGCAAAACTTTCAGATGCACAGTTCAAAACACTGGTGATCAGGATGCTCACAGAACTGGTTGATTTTAGTCACAAATTAGAGGAACATATGAAGGCTAAACTAATTGAAATGAAGGGAATTGCACAGGAAACCAATAGTGATGAAAAGGAAACTGGGACTCAAATCAAGGGAGTGAAGCAGAAGGAAGAAAAAAATGACCAAACAGGAAAATATGAAGAAACAAGAATTCAAAAAAATGAGGAGAGACTTAGGAACCTCCAGGACATCTTTAAACGCTCCAACATCCGAATTATAGGGATACCAGAAGGGGGAAAGGAACAGCCACCAGTAGAAAACTTATTTGAACAAATAATAAAGGAGAATTTCCCCAATCTGGCAAAGGCAATAGACTTCCAGGAAATCCAGGAAGCTCAGAGAGTCCCAAAGAAGTTGGACCCAAGAAGGAACACACCAAGGCACATCATAATTATATTAGCCAAGATTAAAATGAAAGAGAATCCTAGAAGCAGCAAGAGCTAAGGGGACAGTCACCTACAAAGGAGTCCCCATCAGACTGTCAGCGGATTTCTCAAAAGAGACCTTACAGGCAAGAAGGGGCTGGAAAGAGGTATTCCAAGTCATGAAATCCAAAGACCTACAACCAAGATTGCTCTATCCAGCAAAACTTTCATTTAGAATGGAAGGACAGATAAAGTGCTTCTCAGATAAGATCAAATTCAAGGAGTTCATCATCACCAAGCCCTTATTATATGAAATGTTAAAGGGACTTATGTAAGAAAAAGAAGATAAAAAAGATGAACAGTGAAAGGACAGCAAACTCACAGTTATCAACAACCACACCTAAAACAAAAACAAACTAAAAGGACAGCTAGATCAGGAGTGGAAACACAGAAATGAAGATCTCATGGAGGGTTAGCAACAGGGGAGTGGGAGGAGGAGAAGGGGGGAGAAGGTACAGAAAATAAGTAGCATAGACGGTAGGTAGAAAATAGATAGGGGGAGGGCAAGAATAGTATGGGAAATATAGAATCCAAAGAACTTGAGACACATGATCATAAACTAAAGGGGGGGAATGGTAGGGGTGGGGGAGTGCAAGGTGGAGGGGAATGAAGGAGGGGGAACAGAACAACTGTAATGGCATAATCAATAAAATTAAAATTTAAAAAAAAAGAAGATATATCAGTATTACATTTTGAAGTCCAACCAAGCAGTCTGACCGTGGGAGGATTAATTCCATAATGTGGGAAGGACTGATGGAAGTGAGGACTTTAATCAGAAGGTTACTGTAACTTAGCACATACAAACTATCCTCAGATATGCTCTGTGCTTCTCTAGCTTCATACATTTTTATAGTAAGGCTCAGATACAGGCAGAAATGTGTATAAACTAGGAACAGGAGAAGACACACGATGTTTATGTTTTTACCAAGGAAACTGTTTTCCAAGTGGCTCACCATTTTGCTGTCCCACAACAGTGTCTGAGGGTTCCGGTGTCACCACCTCCTTGCCAACACATGCTATCCAACTTTTTAATTATAGCCAACCCCGTGGATGTGAAGTGGTGTTGCATTGTGGTTTTGCAGTTCTTTAATGGCTAACAATGTTGAACGTCTTTTCTTGAGTTTGTTCTCAGTACTTTTAAACAGTTTTCTTTTCTTCTAAAGATTTTTTTATTTTTTATTTATTTATCTTTAGAGGGTAAGGGAAGGGGAGAAGGAGAGAAATATCAATGTATGGTTGCCCCTCATGAGTCCCCTGCTGGGAACTGGCCTGGAACCCAGGCATGGGCCCTGTCTGGGAATCGAACTGCAATCATGTGGTTCGCAGACCCACGCTCAATCCACTGAGCTACACCAGCCAGGGCTAAACAGTTTTCTTTTCATTTAATCTACATTTGTAGATTTAGATTTATAATATAAAATGTAGATTTTTCCATGTTGTCAAATGTCCTTGAAAATGTCATTTAAAAATGTAAAGTGAGAATAACAAAGAGATTATAGTTCCACTATAATCTCAATACAGCTCCTTCCGATATTCAGCCATGTAGCGCCCAAAATCCACAGTCCCTCGGATGGCTTTGAAGTTTAAGCAACTCCATTTGACTTCAGTTGTCTAAAGGCTGGATCAAGAACATGTGTTTACTTATCCCCCAAATCTCTTTAAAAGGAAAGAAGTCATAATAGTGCCAAGAAAGGGAAAATGGCGCTTTAAAAATTATCTCTAAGGGGAAAGGTATTTCAAAGTCTGAACTAAAATTCCAAGGTAAAAAAAAAGTTGATAAATTTCACAATATAAAAATCAACTTCTGCATGACAAAAAAACACCATAAACAAAGTCCAAAGACAAACTGGGAAAAATACCTGCAAATTATACCACTGAAAAGAGTTGATTTCTCAAATGCACAAAGATTTCCTATATGTCATAAGACCAGTGATTCAATAAAAATGGGCAAGGGATATAAACAGATTATAATGAAGAAAGTACAAATTGTTCAACCATACGTCAAGATAGTCCACCTTATTCAAAGAGAAAAATGAAACTACACTAGGATGCTATTTTTCACTTCTCTGATGACCAAAGAGAAAAAATCTGAAAGCACAGCACTGACGAAGGTGCGGGGCAACAAGCAGTCTCTTCGATGGATGGCAGGACTGCAACTTGGTACAGCCTGCGTAGACAATGAATTGGCAACACTTAGTAAAATTTTAAGTGTATATACCCTTTGATCTCGAAATTCTACTTCTAGGATTTACCGAATAGGTTTATCCTCCCATGTATGAAACGGTACCTGAATGGAGGTTATAAAATGCCACACTGTGTATAACAGGAAAAGACCGAAAACAACCTGAGTGTCCACAAATAAAATGGGTGAAATTTATGGTTCATCTGTATAATAATGGAATATTATACAACCATACAATGCAAAGAATGGGGGGGCTTACTATGTAACAAGTTAAAAAAGGCGACGTACAGAACAGTGTTCATGATGTACCATTTGGATAAAAAAAAGAATGCGAGCATTCACCTACGTGAGCATGCATTATCTATAGAAGGAAAGAAATGAGTGACTTTGAGTGTCTCTAAGGAAGGGAAGAGCTGCCTGGGCGAGAGATTTTTACTTTGCACTTTTTGAATTTCAGACCAAGTATATCTATTTGTGTAGAGAAAAATAAATCATTTAATTTTTTAAATAAAAACAAGTAAAGTTAAAGGTACAGCTGATTAAGGTGAGGAGGTGGAGGGCGGGCACCAGGGAAAGCAGCACAGCTGACCTCACTTCCGCTGCAGGTGAGAGGCCGGCCTGCTGCGCGTGGGCCTGCCGGGCATCCGCAAAGAGCAGGGACAGAAGCGGCTGGATGAGGCTGCTTACGGGGCAGCGGGTGCTGAGGTTTTCACTTTCTCTCTAATACCCTTCTACATGGTTTGAATTTTTGACCCGGTAATGTATTGTCATTAAACATAAATGTAAAAACATAAATTTTTATAACAACAGAAAGAACACAATTTCAACCTCAAAGAATCTGGGCTGACTAAACATTCAAGATTATAAGAGAATATTTGAAATATAGATGAAATATATTTAATTTAGTTTTCTCTTACTATGAGTAAGGTTGATTTCGAACTGCAGAGTAATCTCTACATTTTCTACATTCAAATTGTTCTCCTCCTAAGGAAAATAAGTTAGGTATAAACCTAACCTCAAATAATGACATCAAATGGACATGACTTCTTATATTCTTATGACAACCACATTATCCTCCTTCTACAAGAACCACATTATCTATGGAAATAGGGCTGGTTTTGATTTCAGTATTCACAACAAAAGGGGAAGGGAGTGTTGGTCAGGATGGGTTTTCTCTCCTCACCGACACACTGCAGTTCCTGCGGAGGATCCTGGCCCACTGTCCCTTCTGGGCTGGGTCGGCATTGCCAAAGACGGCAACGTGCTCTGGTCTGGGCCCTCCGTGAAGAGTCTGGTACATCTCTTGCTGCAAGTGGCTGCAGCCCATCTTTTCCAGCCTGAAATTAAACACCATGCAGTCTGGAGTCCAATGCTAAGATAATAATGTGACCATATTAGTGTATTAATCTAAATATTAGAAATAATAGTATCAAATAAAGTGGACAGTAAAATAATCCTCAGGAGGTTTAGAGGAGTGTCAGAAAACTCTTAGCAACATTACTATTATTTAGATTATAAGACAATTTCTAATTAGCAATCTCTGAACTCTCAAAATATAAAAGTTGCCATATCAACATAATCTTTAGATAGAGACAAAATTGTGGGAAATGATGTAGAAGCAATGAATTACCTGAGCTTGCATCCAGACATTGCATTCACTCCAAACTGTACTTCATGTCTCCTAACAGAGCAAGTTCCATCACCCTGGCTTTGCAAAAGGGTCATCTGAGGTGAAAAGTGATGGTCAAGGAGATCATAACAGAAAAAGAGGCAGATTGGAAAATTTATGCTTTCATTGTTTCTTTAACACTGTATTTTATTAATACCATGGTACAGTTCGAGTCACAATTTGGTTCCTTCATCTAATAATTAAAAAACACAGAGATGGCCCTGGCTGGTGGGGCTCAGCGGAATGAGTGCCGGCCTGTGAACCACAGGGTCACCGGATCCATTTCCAGTCAGGGCACAAGCTTGGATTGCAGGTCAGGTCCCCAGTAGGGGGCGCGCAAGAGGCAATCACACATTCCTCTTTCTCTTGCTCTCTCCTTCCCTTCCCCTCTCTAAAAATAAATAAAATCTTAAAAAAAAAACACAAAAACCCACACACAGAGTTCTGTTTTTCCAAAAGTGGTTAACTACACACTAGCATATAAATACCTCATTAAAGCAAAAATCAGTTACAATCTTCACTTTTGGCCAGTCTAACATAAGTTTTAGAGCCTTTGGTCACATCAACATTTGAGAACATAGTCTATGAATGGCCTGGTTAAGGAAGTCCTGGATACCTAAAAAACAGGGGAACCGCAGAACAGGATAATCCAGATCAGCAGCTGCAGCTTTTCTCATTAGGCTGCAACAGGCCAGTCAGCTCTGAAAAGGATACTGATTGACTTACGTCACCAGTTAGAGCCAGGAGTGGCTTCCCAACAATATAGCCAGGATTCCCACTTCTAGGAGCAGGAAGAGAAGCAGCTGTGCTCTGAGAAGCCTGCAGAAAGAATAAAAGAACGTCAAGTATGGAGAGAAGCATGCTCCCCCACCTTCCTCCCTTCCTTAAGGCACCGCAGTAAGTTGGCTACTCTGGACCATCTGGCTTCCTTTGCAAAAATTTCTAGTCCAATGACTTTTCCTCCCCCCCCCCCCCGCAAAGTAAATCCTGAATGATCTACATACTGAAATTCACTATATGCTACTCTACCAAGAGTTACAAATAAGGATCTATCAGCCATTTCTCAAAAACTGCTATAAATTTAGGGCTATGTTCACCATGGATGAAATGAGAGGAATTTATGTGTAATTTATAAATATATTTTAATTAACTATAGATGTTCCAGAAATGAACTCTGAGAGACATGAGACTTGGTTGGTCACTGGAAGGCAGAGTTGGGAAGAAATCCGATTCAACAAGATTTTAAAATGCAGCAGCAGCAGAAGCCAAAGGCGTTGATGGAGACCGGAAGTGTGGGCCCAATGGGGTGAACACTACACTGAGTGCCACCACCCTGTGTTTTTGCCAATATTCAGAGGTGTGTACAGGCAGAAATTCATGCTCATTGTAGGCACACAAGCTCAAATAATATGCTAAATGTCCAGAAATATGAGAAAAGCCAAAGAACTTCTGTGGGGTGATGGCTGAGTTTATGATTCAAAGTGATTATTGAAAAAGGGAGTTTGGGTCTGAGATTGAAATCCTGCTATGCTGGGGACCAGACAGAGAATCAGAGAAAATGTTACTAAGTAAACACTGTTGAATCCGGAACCTTAAATGCCCAGGCCTCTTGCACAGTGAACATCCAAGTGTGCTGTAGAGTTCCCTTGGCTCTGACTTCGTGCTAGAGCAATGTCTGTTCTTTTCCTCTGCAGTGAAAGGGCTATTTATCTTTTTAAATGAATTCAGAAAGTCAGCACATTACTTAAAAAACATGTTGGGCCTCAACTGATGGACTGAACTAGGCCTTCATAGCTCCTTCTGTGTCCCAGCTGTCACAGAGGAAGTGTCCCCACCCCAGTATCTCTTCCCTCCGTCACCCCCACAGAAGAAGGGCCCTAACCCTGAAGCGAATGATGAAGTGTTGCTGTAGGGAAGCACCTGGCTCCACGGTCAGGTTGGCTTGTCCGAAACTGACAGAGACTTTCTGGATCCCAAACGTTCCATTGGTCTCTATCTCATAGGTGACCTGAAATGCAAAAGTACAGTCAACTTACAACAATAACTTAGTGGGCCACTTATGTTTAATTTAAATTTTCTGTCTTTGAGGATTTTATTATAAGTAAATGAGGGTACAGTTAACAATACTATATATTTGAAAATGATAAAAGAGTAGGTCTTCAAAGTTTGCACTGCAAGAAAAACCTTGTGACTGTGTGGTAATGGTGGTTAAAGAAACTAACTGTGGTGATCATTCTGCAGTATATACAGGGGTGGTCAAAACTCGGGTTACAGCCCTGGCTGGGCGGCTAAGTTGGTTGGAGTGTCATCCCACACGCTAAAAGGTTGCAGGTTTGATTCCCAGCCAGAGTATATACCTAGGCTGAGGGTTCAATCCCCAATCAGAGCATATACAGGAGGCAACCGATGGATGTTTCTCTCCAACATTGATGTTTTTCTCTGTCTCTCTCCCATCCACCCCCACTTCCTCTCTCTCTAAGGTCCATGAACATATCCTTGGGTGAGGATTTAAAAAAAAATAAGTTTTACAGTTGTGAATATGCTAAACAGTTTATTATTACATTATTTATTATTATTTATTTGTATTATAACTGTAAACCTACTTTTGCTCACCTTGTACACATATCAAATCATATTGTACATCTAAAACTAATACAATGTTATATATCAATTGTATCTTAATTAAAGATATAGCTGAATGAGGGAGAATAAACAAGCAGTCTTAAAAATGCCAAATACAAGTATCATGAAAAGATAAAATTGATTTCATCTTATACATACAAACGAAAAAAAGAGACTGGATGGGGCTCTTTGAAAAGATTCGTGGGAGAGGTGAGTTTAGAGTAAGAATCGGAAAGGAGGAAAAATAGCTTTTGACTGTGTGCAGGGGAAGGCAGAAGCACAGGCAGGTGAGCTGGCGTGGAGACCGTGCAGACTCGGCTCTCCCCATGTCCGAGGGTGAGTGAGGAGAGTAGCTGGTGATGAAGTTATCAACGGAAGGTGTCCTTCGATTTCTGAAAAATTACGCTTTAAGATAATTCTTACTTCTGTAGGTTGATTAGAGGAGACAGAATAGAGGGAAAGTTGATGAATCTGTTTCAGATTTTCAGACTTTCAGATGATACTGACTTCAACAGAAGAAAATGTGGTCAGTAAGAACCCTAACAGATGCATGTAAGCAAAGAAAAGAGGAGTCAGAAATACTCTTTAATGTTCTTAAATGCAATACTGGAGGACAATAGCATTGCAAACAAGTGAAACATGGTAGGGAGGAAGGGGCAGGGCTCACTTCTTGACGTGCTTTCAGGTAATGCACAAAAATTCACATGGGTTGGTGTGGCACTTGACAGAAGCAGGGGCACCTCTGGGAATGGTGATCGACATACTTCAATCTAGAACCTGAGGTCGGCATCCCTACCTGGGAAACAACATTCTGACAAGCGTTTCCAGCCAACAAAGGAGAGCCAGCCTGTGAGACAGGTGTTACAGGAACCTGCAACTAGCAAGGGGAAGAGGCAAATCAACGGAAATTGAAAGCAGCGTTGTCTCTTCTAGCTACAGCTCATGCTGAAATGAGTGTTTTTCATTCCGAGTACCAACTCTCTCTCTCCTTCCATCGCCAGCCTACAGCTTAGTCATTCCAGGTCTGCGTACCTCAACACTTATTTCTCAGATCATTAATTCTATTACATATAAAATTAAGGTTCCATGCTCAAATAGGTTTTAGAAATACTATATTTGACACCTACCTCTTAGAGATTAACAAGGCCCTCAAGCATATCAAAGATTCCAAAAAGTCTGCCCTAAATATAGTGTTTAACCTTCACTCAATATTTCCTAAACTTACCTAACATCTTTTGAACTTTTAAAATCCACATGATGCTTATTAATCACATAGAACACACACAGAAAACATTGTTTTAGATCCACATTTAACATTTAGATACATCACAAATACATTTTCTTTCACCATTACAATCTAGACTAAAATTGCCTCAGGTGCAAAGAGACCGAATAGTCTCTTTACTTTTTCCAGATAAAGAGCATCATACCTTCATATTCTGCAGGTCAGTCATATCTCCTGGAACCTAAGGAAGAGAAAAGCAAGAAAATGCATATGCATATACCTTAGTGAAAATCTCCAGAAGCTTGTGGTTTCACGTACAGGGGTAGGAAGAATCGACGCATTAGAATAATTTGCTTCCTGTCTTCTACCTGACTCTCCTTCAAACTAAAACGCCAGGAGTAAAGCTGAGGGGAGGTTAAGTGAGTCCAACTGCAATGCCCACCTACTCTGAACAAGGCTCTACTGAATAGCAAAAGCAAGAAGCTTTAGTGAAATATTGAGATGTCAGCCCTCCCACCCTCCCAAGCCAATCCCATTAGCCGGGAGGTTGAAAACCTCTTAGCATGACCACATAGCCCTAATGTTTAACCTTTCTTCAGACCACAGCGTTTCTAAGCCCTCTGCCTTTTACACAGCTCTTGGGCATTCGGACTTCCAGTTCAGTGCTTTTCCCACAACCCAGCAGTGGGAAGCGTGCTGACTTCAAACCCACAGTGGTGCCAGTGGGGAGAGAAGGGACACCCACCTTCAAGACTGTGAAGTTGTAGTAAGAGGCAGCATTGAGGGCTGGATCCAAGGTGCAGCTCTTTGCCGGGTTCTTGAAAAAACGAGTGCAGGTGATACTTTTACTTTCCAAGAAACCTTAGAACACAAAGAATTAAGAAGGTGGTCAGTGAGAAAGCCTATTTTAACTTGAACCAAAAGGCTGGCACTTGTGCTCTAGACTCACTTGCAGGATTGTTCTCGGTACAGAGTCCTCCAGCTCCGAGCCCTGCAGGCTGCTTCAGTAAGCTTACTAGAGACCACTCGGAGAAGTAAGTCAGAATGGGGTCCCCAGCCTGAACAAAGTATAGCAGGAATATGTTCACAACAAGATTGGAATGAGCCCACCAGAAAATGAAAAAAAAAGAAACAAAAATTTACTGAACAGCTTATTAATGTGGACAACACTGGCCTCCAAAAGAACTGACAATGGTTTGCCTGACGGCAGCCAGACACCTCAGAGATACCCACTCAGTCAACTGTCAGTTATGAGGGAAAAATCAAGCCAAACAATCCCATCCCCCTCTCCAGGCTCACCCTGTAAAAAGGTGGTGGTGACTCGGTTTGGAATGTCGAAGTGAATGATTTGCCTCCAAACTCTGTGGCCAGCGCCTGGAAGTTGGATGCATTGACTTTTTGGAGCTCTTGGAAATAGTTTAATTTTGCTAAAATGTTTTTAAAAAGGAAAGGGGATTAGATAAAAGAAAAACATTTATTTCTAAATTTAGTGCATGCCAAGAAGTAATATTTTTATTGAGGCATAGTAAATACACAGTAAGGCTAAGTATACAAATGCAAAATGCACTCATCTTAAGCATAAACTCAAAAGAATTTTTACAAATTTACATTATTTTATTGCTACTACTCAGATTAAGTTATAGGACATTTTCCCAGAAAGTTTCCAATCAATATTCCACATTCAGAGATAACAATTCTGATTTCTATCACATTCTAATTCATTTGTAATCTGTTAAATGAATTATTGCTTTAGCATCAAGATCTGAGATAAGAATCTGGCCAATACTATGGAAAACAGTACAGCGGTTCCTCAAAAAAAATTAAGAATTCAGCTAGTGCATGGGCCAGCAACCCTTCTTCCAGGTTTCTGTGCAAAAATGTTGAAACCATGTATTTGTAGAGACACATGCATCCACATGTTCATCGAAGCATTATTCACAGTGGCCGAGACATGGGAACAACCAAAGTTCTGTCAGCGGAAGGTTGGATAAGGCTGTGGTATACAGACACACAATGGAACACTACTCAGACATAAGGAAAGGGGAAATACCTTTTCATTTCATGGGTCCATCATGCTGCCATTTGTGACAACATGGATGGACCCTGAGAATTTTGTGCTAAGCAAAGTCAGTCAGAAAAAGTCAAGAACCACATGATTTCACTCATACGTGGGATATAAAACTGAAAGCAACGAATGAACAAACAAGACAAAAAAACCAAAAACGTATAGACACGGACAACAGTGTGTGGTTACCAGAGGGAAAAGGAGGCAGCGGGGTAATGAATGTAAAGGGTCAAATACATGGGGCCAGGAGATCTGACTGAGTGGTGAACGCACAGTGCACTACACAGATGGTTATCTTTCGAATTGTACACTCGAAACCTATATGATTTTATTAATCGGTGTACATTTGAAACCTATAATAATTTTATTAAACCCCAGTTAAGTACGTTTTTTAAATGATGTAAATATTCACCTAGCTATTGTATCTACATAATTAAAAATCTTGAAAACAAGAAAAAAAAGAATATGGCCAATGAATTCCAGTTAGTTCCATGTCTCTGATGCCAGGAATGTGTATGATCAGCAATTTGTGATGAAAACAAGAGGCTCAATAAAGTGAACATTTAGCCCGCAGTAGATGAGTCTCTAGTACAACAAAATGGTACTGTTTCCATAGGAACATGGCAAAGTTGGAGACAATATCTGATTCGTCCTCAAATCTTCCTGTTCCCTCTAAACTTTAACTGGCCTGATAGGACCTTCAACAGTCCTAATAAGAATGTTTTCATCTCTCGAGTATATGGATTTGTCATGTTTTATTCTTTTCACCTTGTAATTTCTACATTCAAAATTTCAGACACTCTGAAGGGGTGCTTTCTCTAACAATTCTAAAATCTATATCACAGCAATGCACACATCTGCCCAAACTCCTGCAGCCGTCTCCTTACTCAGAGAACAGGAGAGAGATGTAGGAAGAGGCCTCTGGCATTGTCTCCCGCCCAGAGGTTGGCTGGTAATGAATAAATTTCTGTTTTACCACCCAAGTCTTCTGTTAACTTGAAAAAGAAACATGGCGGAAACTTGCCCCATGATAAATCCTTTAATTCTTCATGTAATTATGGTCATTTGGACAGATTCAAAAAGGTATCAAGACCTTCATCACTGAAAGCTAATGAGGAATCCACATACAAAAGCTTGACCTTTATCCTCTACAATCAGTCTTAATTATTTGACTTTTCAGCTTTCTGATACAGCAACAAACAAGCACAATTCTCAATTCGGAGGACTTCCAGACTATTCACCCTCTCTTTACCTCCCAGATCCTTGCTACTCAAAGTGCGGTGCACAGACTAGCAGCCCCAGCATCACCTGGAAGTTTGCCAGAAACTCAGAATCTTAAGCCACTCCCCAGACATGGTCAGAATCTGCATGTGAACAAGCTCTCCAACTGATGCTGATGCTGATGGTTTGCAGACCACCTCCTCGACCCCTGACCTGAATCTTCAAACTTTAAAATTTCCAGGAGCTGTTTAACATTTCTCTCAGAACTCACACCCCAGAAACCACATGGAAGAAATACCTCATAAAATGCAGTTATTTCTGCCCTTATAAATGAAAGAAAAGTTAAGGTTAAGCTAAGAAAGAAGATAAGCTGAGATTAAATATCTACCTGGCTATTTTTTCATGGCTTAAAAGAATAAGAGAAAGTTAACATTTTACATCTCCCGTTAGTGCAGGGATACTGGTGGCAAGAAGGGACGATGTAGGTAAGAAACACAGGCTAAAGATAGTAAGTAGAGATTTTGTCTAAAACTCTAAAACGTTTGCCTAAAAATGTCTCCCATCATACATGGTATGCATTACACTGAACAGAGCTTAAAGGTATTTAGATTGCTACAATTCCAGATGTGGAAGAAAGCCTAGAAATGCCTGGCCCTATCCCATAAGGAAATTTGGATCCTGAGGTAAATGAGTTGCAGAAGGCCGCAAAGACATCTGGCAGAGGCGGGACTGAAGCACAGGTCTCCTGATACCTGGTCTCCTTTCTCCCACTCCATCGTGCTGCACAGACGTTGACTAAGAACATCCATTCCTAATGATCACTGTCAGCAAATATAAAGTCTTTTGAGCAAACAGAGACCTGATCTATCCTTTCTGGGTACAGATAATTTACCTTGGGAGACACAATGTTTATATACATTGAGCAATTCAAAGTGCCCTATAGTTTCCAAGGGAATGAACTTCATGTGTTGTAGGAGAAAGAAAGTTCAAAACCACTGCTCCAGAAGCAGTGGCAGGATGGTACAGGAGGCAGGAGGGGAGATTAAAAGCAAGGAGAACCAGTTGGATGCTACTGCAATAGCTCTGGAGCTCAATCATAAGGCTGGAACTAGAAGTCAGTGGGAGATTTGGAAAGGATGGGGCAGCCGCAGACTTATAGTGGTCCCAGCCCTGGCAGGGCAGCTTGTTTTGTTAGAGCATCGTCTGTCCCAATACACCAAGGCTGCAGATTCGATCCCAGTTGGGGTACGTACAAGAAACAACCAATGAATGCATCCATAAGAACGACAAATCAATCTTTCTCTCTCAAATCAATAAATTTAAAAAAATAGTAAGTTCCCCCAAACCAAATACTGGTTATTTTCTAAAACAAATCTAGTTTTTCCTATTTCTTTTTAAACTGAAATCAGGATCAGTTAACTTTCAGGTGTAAGGAACATTTAACTCTGTTTTGTATGAGATCAGTAAACGGCAAGGCTGAGATCCGACCCTAATGCTCTTTCCCTTACACTGTTGCTTCATGAAACAAAAACAAGGTTGGTATATACTCATTTTTCAAAGACATTCATTCAAGTATTTCCGGTGCCTCCTGTGTATCACTTATGGCAGAGTCCGTGAGTGCCTTCATGGAGAGTGTATCAAGTGGGGAAATAGACTCTATCTGTAATTATCTGGGCTAACAGGAATGATTACAATTAAAATTCTGGCCTAGGCTGGTTAAGTGTCATCCTGCAAAGCTAAAGGTCACCAGTTCAATTCTGGGTCAGGGCACATGCCTAGGTTTTGGGTTCGGTCCCCAGTTGAGATGCACGTGAGGGGCAACCAATCAATCAGTATTTCTCTCTCTCTTCCCCTCCTCATCCTCTCTCTAAAAATAAATACACAAAAATATTAAACAAAATTAAAGTTCTGTATGGGAGAAGAAATTGCAAATATTCACTAATAAAAGAGAGGGGGCGGGTGGAGAGGCAGGATAACAGGAATTCAAAGGACAAAAAATAATAATTTTTTAAAAAGGACAGAGACAAAGCCAGCTTTTTGTAAATATTAGGCAATAAAAACACCCAAAATATTTCTACTCACAGTTGTTCACATGGACACAAAACTGCCTAATTCCATTTAAATCCACAAAAACCCTTGAAGGAAATGGGGAATTACTCCTGAAGATAAGAGAGTTGTCCACACACGCCCAACTTGAAGACCTATGAGGAAACAGGATAAATAATAGATATATTTAGAAGTGCAGAGTTGGGTCCAAAGAAGGTTGCCCCATGGATGTCAGTCAGATGCCAAAGAGAAAGCTCCCTGGGCAGCCACGGGACAGGACAGCACGAAGTGCTCGTCTACTGGGCAGCCCTGCCGTCCAATAAAGAATCTGAAGAGGAACATCACTCCTGGGAAAAACCAAGGTAACTCCACTTACAGAATTGGAAATGGGGGAGGAAGGCAGATAGAGTAACTCTTCCAACTTCCAAATATTACCTATTCTAGGGCCCCAATTCCCTTTAGGACTCAACCTGCGCAACACGGCTCACCTCACGCTGCCTGGAAGGCAGAAGGAGAAAACTGTTCTGGGATGGATTAGATAGCAGTCTCTGTCGCAGCAGCAATTTATATCGCAGGTACCAGGAGTCAAGTCGCAGATACAGATCGGTAAGGCTATGAAGGTACGACATAAAGTAGAGAGAAAGGGATGAGGATCTCTAAATCCTTCCAAGTGAGAATTCCCCGCTTCTGACAGCCCGGTCTCCACTGCAGCAATTCACTTTGTTCACAGAATTTTAGATCTAAGTCTGTAGCTTCCATCCCCGCACCTCCTTCCCTCACCTGGGAAGAGGTCCATGGTCCTATTTTCAGGCGTTGAAGGGGTCACGACAGTAGGGCCCACCGCAGAGATCCCAGGCACGGCCCTAGGTGTTCCAGTCCCCTCCGAAGAGTATTCAAGGGTCCCGCCCTGTACTCCTGGGCCCAAGTCCGAAGAGGTGGACGATGCCCCTGACGGGGAGGAAGACGGCTGAGGACGGACGCCCTCGGGGACCATCAGGAAGAACACCTGCAGTAGCATGAGCGAGGAGGGGCACATGAGGCAGTCGAGACCCCCAAGAGTTTAAAATGGGATTTCGGCGGTCGCCAGACGCGTCGCTAGAAAATTGAGGTTAGGGGGAGGAGTCGCATAGAGTCAACGTCACCGTTTGCATTGGTTCATTGGTTCATGGAGAGGGCTGAGAACTCTTCTGCCAATAGAAAGTGGCGTTATTACAGCACTTTCAGCAAGGTTTAGTCTGCGCCCTCCTCATTAATTCGGGACACTGCCTCCGTCGCTTGGCAACCGCCAAACTGGCGAGGAAGCCCGTGCCCCCCCTTTCCGCTAGGTGGCAGTACAAGTTCAGCCGGAGGCGGCGCAGACTTCTCTAGGCCTGGTGGACTGAGCCCATCTTTTTTGATGGAGGGAAACCCCAGTCTGGAACTAGAATCGCATTATCCTTTCCATCCGGATTCTAAACAAAGATAATCCCAGGGGAAAAAATACACCAAAGATTACATACCTAAAAAAAAGTTTCAGCTAAATATTGTATGCGGGGGGAGAGAATATTAGAAAGATTCAGTTCCTTAAATTTCAACTTTGAGAAATTACAAAAATATTTTAACCTCAGTAAACTTATGAAATCTCTAAATATGGACCACATATCTGTTACTACAGAAAATAGTGAGAGGAGGGGGGTGAGAAATGGAGTAGGGAAAATGTGAAAAGATAGAAAACTTTGGAAAAGACAGATATTTTCTAGAAGATGAAGAGAAAATAAGATTCAGGGATGGAAATAGCCAAGAGAAGAAAAATTATTATTATTTTTTTTGCTATGATAAACCACCACTTTTTGTAGCCCTCTTTGGGAAAGTTTGGGTTTTCCCAGGAGCGGCGTGTCTCTTCCGATTTTCTAGAGCAGCACTGTCCAGGGGGACTTCCTGCAGGGTGGGAAATGTTCTATAACTGCACTTCCAGTACAGCAGCCACAGGCCATGGGTGGCTTCTGCACACTTGCAATGTGGCTAAGCTAAGAAGCTGAATTAAAAAATTTTAATTCGAAGTTAAATAACTACTCGTGACTAGTAGCCACCATATTGGATTATTTTTATTGCTTGGTTTGGGGATATAGATTAAGCTCTGGTAAGAGTTATCTTAAATCTGGTACACTTACAGCCATCGCTGAGGAGGAGGTCTAAGTACGACATGTCCCCGCCAACCAATGAGGCAGAGCGGCCTGTGGTGCTGTTTCTCCGAGTCCAGGCGGCCGGCTGCGAAGGAGGGTTGGCGGAGGTTGCCCTCGCTTTGGTGGCCGCCAAGCTGGGGCCCCGGGTGGTTGAGGGAGCCGCTGTGGCGCTTCTGTCACATCTGCTGCTGTTGCCACCCCCGTTCTGCGCCCCCGGGGCGCTGTGCGTTTGGCTTGGTAGGAGCCGAGCTGCCGGAGACCATTCTTTGGGCGCCAACGCCGGTGGCAAAGCGCAAGTGGACGTGCGCAGGATCCGCTTCCGCAAGGGCCCCTGGGAAGGCCGGTTGGCAGAGCCTCTGACTGTGGCCTGAAACTGCCAATCCTTTCCAACCCCGAGGACCAGATCCTGTATCAAAACAGAGCGGTACAATGACGAGGCCTTTGACTACCAAGTGCCCAGTAAGGAGGAGAGGGACTATGTGCTGGTGTTGAAATTTGCTGAGATCTACTTTGCAAAGTCCCAGCCGAAGGTATTCGATGTGCGATTGAATGACCATGTCGTGAAGAAGGACTTGGGTATCTTTGATCGTGTTGGGCATAGCACAGTCCATGATGAAATCATCCTATGAGCATCAGAAAAGGGAAGCTGAATGTCCAGGGAGAGGTGTCCACCTTCGCAGGGAAACTGGACATCGAATTTGTCAAGGGGTACTGTGACAATCCCAAAGCCTGTGCACTCTACATCATATCTGGGACAGTAGATGATGTCCTGAAGCTGCATCCTAATCCAGGATTGGAGAAGAAAGAAGAGTAAGAAGAAGAAAACAATGAAGGATCTAATTGGAAAAGACATTCCAATAAGAACCAGGCCCAACCCCATACCTCGGACAATAGCAGCCTCTTGTTTCCCTCCTGGCACCCGTCAGAGTCTTCATTCCAACCCGCTTCTGCCTCTGCCGGTTGTGAGAACAAATTTACCATCCTATATAGGACGAAGGAGTATAGGAAAGGAACTTCAGAAGTATTAGTTTGGTTTTTCATTTTTCCATGATGATTAAAACAAAGAAGATACAAAGAGGCAGAGTGAGCGGAGAGCAGCCCTCCTTCACCACCTGGTCCCAAACCTGCTTCAGTCCTGGTCCTCTCTTTGCGGCTGGCCCCCAGCCATCCCCCTTCTCTCTAGGGGATCTGTGGTCAACTGGGTCCTACCTGTCCCAGGATCCTCATCTGTGGACCTAGTGGAAAGGACTCTGAACTTGGAGCAGACCCCCTTTTTTAGGTTTGAAACTAACAGCAGGGAAAAGGGCATCTTATTACCTGAGAGACCAGTGCTGGGAGTTGGGTATGTCCTGAAGTTATGTCCAGATGCATTTCCAGATGTCCTGGGATTGAGAGTATGTGGTGTGTGTGTGTGCGTGTGTGTCCATGGACGAAGATATATAATTTGTATAAAGATGAAAACAGGAGGGGGTTTTTTAACAAGAGAAAGAAGATACTTTCTTACTTGGAAGCCTTTCAGGCTTTAGCCCACTGGTGGTACCACCTTGCTATTTGAGCTTTATTGTCACCTATCTCCCTGACGTGGGCCAGTTAGAGGACTGTCTGGCATCCAAGACGGTTAGTTTATGTCGGGTCCTCAAATTGCTTCTGACTTATTACCACAACAAGTCATTTTGATTTCGGTTCCTATTGGGAACTTGATTTCTTCTCTCTCTTTTTATTTCTTCATCTGGCTCATCTGAGTGCTCTCTCAATCATCTCACTAAATTATTCCCAAGAAGGAAAGACGATATGAGGACTTGGGATTCCCTTTGCCTGAATGTCTTATCATCTACCACTTCACCTTGATGGTACCTCCCTCTCCGAATCTCTGAGTCAGCCACCTGGGAGCACCCGGTTCAGCAGTTCTTTTACTGGCCCCTTTGCGGGGTCTTGCTGCCAGGTGACAAAGATGCTTTCCAGCCTGCAGCAACAGAACACTTGACCTTAAGAGTCTCTTCTGCTCTTATGGATTAGAAAAGGCTTACGTTAGCATCATGTAGGAGCAACCTCAGAGACTTGAGCCCTACTAAGTGACTGACCACTGTTTAGAGTGTCTAGTATCTGATGTTCATTTATTCCCATGTCCTTTTATGTCACAGGTCAACCAGTTTAGAGTTATGTCTAGAGATGCCCCAAGGAACTGGACTGATGGTCTCTACCTGGCCCAGGGACACTGCTCACCGATCATAATAGTATGTTCCACTGTCCTTTCATTTTCTTATCCAAGTAGCAGTCAGGTTCTTGGTGTGACAGGGCTGAAAGATTTCCAATCAGCCATAGTCCTGGCAGCTCTGAAGCCAACCTTAGCATCTAAGTGTCTGTCTTGAATTCCCTGGAATAATTTCTGCAGGAAATAAAGCTTCCCTGTTTCCTTCCGTTGGTCACTGTCATCTTTTTCCAGCTACAAGTAGTTTTGTGGATGGAAGGCAGCAGGATTGACTTCTGCTTGGGCTGCCGCAGCAAAGAATCTCAGGCCAGGGCAATTTTTAAAAGAGCATGTTTAATTTTGAGTTTGTCTTTTTTAGGTATGTTTTTAAAGAGCTGCATCTATTTGACCACTTATTATGTGACAAAGTAAGTAGCCCTTGGGCTCATGTCCTGGGTTTTGGCTTTAAAAAAAAGATATTATTTATTTATTTTTAGAGAAGGGAAGAGAAAGAGAAAGAGGGGGAGAGAAACATCAATGTGTGGTTGCCTCTGGCGCTTCCCCTACTGGGGACCTGGCCTGCAAACCAGGCATGTGCCCTGACTGGGAATCAAACTGGCATCCATTTGGTTCTCAGGCTGGCACTCAATCTACTGAGCCACAGCATCCAGGGTGGTTTTGGGTTTTAATGAGTGACTCCAGGCCAGCATTTCATCCTTTTACGGTTGTAGCCCTTTATTGTACCTGTGACTTCGGCCTCACTATTAGGGCATTGAGTCGAGCAGCTGGGTGGTTGTGTCCTAAGGCTGCAGTTGGGAATTTGTAGTGCTTCACAAAGCTCCCTGCTTTAAAGGATGACATTCTGTAGCCTTGATCCTGGGACCACTTGCCTGGGGCAGTGGACACCCTGACTATTATTAATTGGGCTTCTGACAGCGGCTTTGGTTACCATTCCATCACAACTCCTCAAAGCTGTAGACAAGAGCCAGTAGAGCTGATAAGAGGAGGAAGACTTGTTGCCTTTATTCTGCCTTGTCAGTTTGCCTGGGTCACACTGAGGAAGGAGAGGTCTCTGCCTCTTCGCCTCAACACATCCCTTCAGTGACTCAGAGTCTCAGAAGGAAACCCTGGCTCCTGGGGCCACTTCCTCGTGGCACTGTAAGCCAGGCAGCTCTGCTCTGCCTGTTTCCAAGCCCACCCTTTCCCCCTGAACTTGGGGATAGGGACGGGCACTTTTTAGTTGTGTCTGAAAGGAAGGAACGTCTTCCTATGGCTGACAAAAACAAAGGGGAAATGAGGTAATAGGAAGAAATGGTGAGGGCTGGACTGGAGTCCCCTGGGCCAAGGGCTGATCACACCTGACTGATGCCGAACTTGAAAGCTTTCTTTTTTTCTCCTCCAAGATGATATAGGTACATGAAGTTTAGGTTAAAGGGATGGATGGGATAGGGCACTCTTCATTTTTGTTTTTGTATTGTACGGGTCCAAAATTACTTTGAAGTAATTTTGCTTTTTTAAAAATTTTCCTTTTTGTGCTGTTTGTTCCCATGCCCATATTTTGAGCTAGGAGTGAGACCTGCACTGCAGGGATCTGACTGGGGTTGCCGGGGGATGAGTGATGCCAGATGGGGGTGGGGAACGGGAGGCCTGGGCTCTTCTACGGGATCCACACTCCGTCCTAAGCTTTTTAGGAGAAGCTTTTTAGGGGTCTCCCCCTGGAGACCGGCTTGCTAGAGCTAAGAGCAGACAGCCCAGGTAGAACTCCTTTTGC